TTTTGAAGTCTATTTTTTATTACTCCTGTTAGGATTTTATAAGTTGTGTCGAGAAATGTGATGGCTCTCAAATTGTTGCAGTCAGATGGGTCGCCGTTTTTGGGAATTTTGACTTAACGCTTTTTTTCACTCTGTAAGGATTGTTTCGTTTCTTATGTCGGGATAAAGGAGTTCAGCTGCTGTTTGTGGGTCTAGTTTTGGGATTTCGCTTGGCAACCCTTATTGTGGCTGAATTATCAATATTTAGTTTATTCGTACGTTGTTGTCTTAGTTTAATTAGAGCCCATGTTTTGCCAGAAATTCAAGGCTGTTGGTGCCTAGAATATTTGTAGCTGTTTGTATTAAGCTCCTGACCGTTACCTCCAATAGTTGTATGGTGTTTCTTTGCATGGCGTCATGTATAGCTGAAATGGTATTTGTTTTTACAACTGGGTCTCTGAGTTGCGACAGGTTAATTCTTGTTGGAGGATGTTGTATGATGATTATCTATTTTATTTCTTAGTTTGATCTTAAAGTCTGCAGTTACTAATTCATGATCACCAATATCAAACTGTAGTTCTCCACATTTATTCCATTTTAACTGGCTGATGTCTAGAATACCTATTTTTTACGTAGCAGCCTGTTGTTCAAGTTGACCTAGTTAGGATGTTTCCCTTAATGTTCTTACGTTCCATTGTGCTATTCGTCTAGGGCTTCTTGAAGTTTCTTAAATCCTTTTTAATTTAGATTTAAGTCGAACAGGAAATTAGTCTATCGCACCGATCGTAGTTTTCATCTTTTTTTTTTTATATACCATTTTTAAACTATATTATGATACTGAATAATATGTTATAAATTATTTATATTTATTATGAGCTGACAGCAATATGGGAAGCGTTCGCAGAAACGCTAAAACTTGTTTTGTATATTTTTCCAGCAAAGCTAAGCCTTACTCTTTCTTATTGGTACTATCATCCGATCTATTCTTCTTTTGTTAGAACCCGCGTCTCTTAACCTCCAATTTGCCTTTGGTCTTCGGTGTTTTACTAATTACCTTTGTAGGCTTACCAGAACCCGAAAGACCAATGGCACTGTCTGCCTTATGCTTCGGCTCTGCTCTGACGACCTCTTGGATTTCCTTCAAGTTATTGATCCCCTTACTCTTTACGATCTGCACATTTACTTAATCAATTTCATCATATAAAATCCATATCAGTCTCATAATAGTTCAAAAAATTACATAATAGTGCAAAAAAAGGAGTCCAACATGAACTTAATTTCCTCAAATTTATATTTCATACTTCTAGCATTAATAACGTATATAAAATTTTTAGTAAATTTTTCTCTTTGAAGGTTATATTACTAGAGTTAAGAAAGCTTTTGTATTAGTATTTACGAGGAACTCGAATCAATATCACTTAATCAGTTTCAAATAACAGTTAAATCAGATTCATGTGGAACTCTTATGATTCTAGAGTTTGATTTTTTTCAAATAAACAAATTGCAATTTTTTACTTGTACGAATTCAATAATTTTCTCCCGTTTCGAGTCTTTGGTTTTTTGAATAGTAGACCAAAATATTGAGCAAGGCTTAACGAAGATAATATTATCCGTGTTGGTGGATTGATCTCCAAATATTCCCATAGTCAGTCTTGTATTCTTGAGAGCTCTCAATAATGTTAGTTTACCTCATTAATGTTAGTTTAGTTAGTCACTGAGTTCTTGGTTTTTATTGAAGATCTATATATGTGAGGAATATCCTTTTATTCCACGCCAGCTTCACGAGCAATTTGTGTTATTGAAAATGTAGAAACCTTCTCAGAGAAATTGCAAAGGTTTAATATCACATAATTCAAGTTTTCTTAGTTTATGTTGTTTCATTTTTTCAATTTCAATTTGATTACTTATCATATTATCTTTCAGTTGTTTGTTTTTACTTCGTCAACTAAATTATTTACGCAGTTTTTCAATTCATTTTGGAATATCAATTCTTTGGGTTGTTTGATTTTCAATTTTTAATTTCAATTTTCAATTCCACTTTCATAAGAAGCTGGTTTGTCGTTAATTAATTGCGTGAAGCACTTATGCTTATAGGTGTCAAACTGGTTTTCTTTTTTGTCGTTTTGACTTGCTTAGTAGAAAAAACAAAATTTTTCTTAATTTTGAGAGTATTTACGGAAATCTTCAACATCCAATACTAAGTACTGATTACAAAACCATTTCTTTCAAACATCGCACTATATTCCAATTTTGGCCCTTGAATTGATTTTTTTCTTAGCTGTAATTAATGTTATTACCTGTAATTTTGACTTCAATTTTTCTATTTTTTGTTTAGAAAAAATAAACAAAGGCAGACCAGAATTTCATATGTTAGAATTTCGCTGTAATTACAACCCAATGGACTACATATGTATGTCTGCGGTTATTAAAAATTGTGTTTCGTCTTACCGAAATTAAGCAGCTCGCCAATACACACTACAGTTAGTCACATATGTGGCTAAATCTACGGTTTAGTCAAAATTTAATGAAAGCAGTATAATGAAGAGCTCTTTTTGGCACTAAACTTTTACATCAGATAATAGAATTTACGCTATTCTTACAAGATTAACGCAATTTCAATTCAAGTAGCTTATTTACTTGCCTTTGAAATCATTTCGAAACTCATGCTGCATTTTTATTGTCTAGTAGAAAGCCCAAAATTAAGATATTAAGTCATTATTAACAATTTAAGTCAAGTAGGCAAATTTTTTTGATTGACTTGAGTGAAACCAGCTTCAAATCAAATAGAGTTTATATGGAGTTATAAGTAGGCTTGAAGATTCCCCTTCATAGAGTTAAGTACGCTTGAAGATTCCCCTTCTTGACAGGCGGGGTAACTGTTAGATTGATAGATACGTAAATAGTCATGAGTCAATAATTCCGGTGAAAATTCCAACTTACATGATATGTTTGTAAATATTTGTTTACAAAATATGTGTAAGAATCAATTTTGTTAAACAAGATGAATTTAATGAATAAAAAGTTTAATAAAATAGATGAATTCCCTTTTATAGAGGAAAGTACATACATATATGTAATTAATTTTTATTTGCAAGCGGCGATTTCGGTACTACGTTACAATTTTGTAGAACGTATTTTTTACACCCCACGAAGATTAACATCTGCGAAGCTAAAATTTCACAAAATCAAGATTAAAGGAACCAAAGCGGTAAGTTTGCGGGTTCCTAACCGAAATATATTGTTATCATGTTTATATCCATATGAATGTGCATCTGCTTGTCCGTACCAGCGATAACTCAAAACTAATAGGTTATAGTATTGAAATTTTGCGAAAAAAAGGTGGGTATATGGTTACTATTTATAGTAAAATTTGAGATATCATGACTGCTTTTAATAGTTACCATAAAAATTCGAAAAAATTGTATGGTAGAAATTGTTGAAACAGGAAAACTCGCTTAAACAAACATACATACATATTATTAGGGCTCTTATGCATGATAAAAGATGATGAAATTGCATGAGTCCTTATAGTAGTTGCTGCACAATTTCAAAAATTATTAAATAATATTTCAAGAAACAATTGAAACAACAGTGCTGAAACTTTGCATAAGCAAATATGGTAATACGGCCACTATTTTCGCTAAAAATTTTTCAGATTTTCTGAGTTTAAATGGTAACTACCATAAGTATGAGTATACGTGTACAAGCTCTGGATAAAAAAATTATTGATTGGTACGAGTACCATATAATTGAAACGGGTCGGCTCTACCCAACGAATTAGAATTGCTAAAGGAAGGAGCATTTCGAAAATACAATGAAGCCAAATTTTTCTAGTTGTCTCTTTCCTTGCTCCGAGCATTGTCAAAGTCGTAAAAGGGGCGTATTTATTTTATTTTCTTATCACGGTTAAGTTAAAAATTTTTTTAAAGTAGAAACTAAATAACATTTCAAAATATTTTTCAGTTTAAATATTTGTAAAAAAAAATCATATTAAAACAAAAATTTTTTTTTTCTCTTTGAATAAATTTTATGAATTATAAAATTATAAATTTTGGTAATATATTTGAAATGCAAACTTTTTTATTAATATTTCCAATCCATTTTCTTTTAATTTCATTACTTCTAAGAAAACTGTAATTATATAAAAAAAAGACCAAATTAAAATATTGTATGTATGCTATATTTTATTAAACACAAACATATTTTGCTTAGAAAAGAAATCCGGTCCTGGAAAATTATATCATTCGAAGTAATTTTTATTTAAAACTAAACAAAAACAGATGTTTTTTTTTGCAAAATTTAAAACTTAATAAAATTAGAAATTATGAATTAATAAAAGCACTATTAAATTAATATTTCTTTTAATTATTGAAATGAATAATGTTAACATGTATATGATGGAAAAAAAGTATTTGTTTTTGCAAATTATACATCTTTTTCTTTTTCAACAAATTTTTTTCTTTTTTTCACTTGTTATAATTTTTTTATAAGTTTTTACAAAATAATGTTGTTTTTTTAACACTTATTATTATAAATAAAATAATAAAAACTTCTTTGTTTACTTTTTATATGGCAGCTCGTAATTTTCTAAGAGAAAAAAACAACAACGTTCGGTTAATTTCAGTTTGACAATATTCGGAGCAAATAAATAGACTTGTTGAAATTTTTGGCTTAAGAAAGATACGACTTTTTAGGCAGCGTAAGGGTGATAGAAACAAAGATGCTTCTTCCTTTAGTTCTACGAATTTCTAATTCGTTGACTCTACCTTATCTGGTTTTAAATGACGTTTTTGTTAATAATACCTCTGTCTGTATCAAAAATACGAACAAATGCCAAGAAAGTAAATGGAACCAATATGGTGTGTAGGGAACCACCAAAAGAAAAAAGTAACCAATTTAGATGCAAAATCACCAAAAGTAGCAATTCTGGCCACAACGTGTAATTTAAGCACCTTAATTGTACCGATTTCACTATTTTTCGTTAATCGAAAAAATCACATGATTGCGGAGTAAAGTGATACCTAAGTCAATCGTGCCAAATTGATTGTTTAAAGTATTGAATAGGTAACTTTCTCTTGATTGAAACATTCCTTTTTGTGCTGAAATTTGGTTAGATAGGTAGTGTGCAATAATTTTGTAAAATATTTTCGTTTTAGATTGAAATAATAAAAAAATTGTTTATAGGCAATATTTTGTGACCACAAATAACGAAATTTAACACTATGGGTGCACCAAAGAAACAAGTAAATATTGAGAACATTTATCACGTGTTGGCAAATTTTTTGAAGTTTTCTGTTTTTAGAAAAAGGCGCTAGAAAGTATAAATGCTCGGTTGGCTTTAGTAATGAAATCTGGCAAATATTGCCTTGGTTACAAGCAAACACTGAAAGCCTTACGCCAAGGAAAAGTTAAATTGGTTTTGATTGCCAGTAATTCTCCATCATTAAGGTGAAAATAATTACAAAATTTTAATATAATTAGCTTAAGTTTTTGTTTCAGGAAATCTGAAATAGAATACTATGCTATGTTAGCAAAGAGTGATGTACAGCACTACAGCGGTACAAACATTGAATTAGGAACAGCCTGCGGGAAATATTTCCGCGTTTGTACGCTTGCAATAACAGATCCTGGAGATTCTGATATCATTCGCTCTCTCCCGGAAGCAAGCTAAATATTAATAAAAAGAATTTGAACATGTTTTTTAGATTATCAGTAAAACTACTATAACTTGGTAAAATATAGGTTTTCTGTGAACAAAAGATGTGTTATCAATTTCGCATCATTTTTCGTCTTCCTAGGATTACAAGGTTCCACAATCACATGGCAGCGTTTTGAGAAATGGCGTTTTAAATCTTTTCTAGTTGTAAACTAACAACACTAAGAGTAGGCATCTGCGAATAAAAAATAACTTTGCAATAAAATATTATAATAAGTAGGCCATAAAACTTAAGCAAACAGGGTAATTGTTTAACAGGCCTTTCCCTCATTTAAAGCGCTTTATTTTTTCAGTTGATTTCTGTATCTCATTGAAAACTTTGTTGCATTCGAAGTTTTAAGAAATCAAGGAAAACTTGATTTTTGTAAAACAAAAAATCAATATCTTACAAAAAAAAATTAATATGTACATACATCGGTAGTTTCACACTTTATATTGTACTTGAAATAACATATGTATGTACGTAATTGTACATAGTCACTAATATCAAATATTTAAAGAAAAATTTGATTTTTATAAAAAGTAAAGATTTCAGTAATTTTTGATATGAAATGTCCTTGTGATCGGCGAAGCGAATGGCTAGGCGACTCAAATGGACTAAACGATTCGAATATTTTAAATTATGGTCGGCAAAAATATGGTGATATATTTTTTAGTCTAGAATACACGGTTTAAAATAAAGTTAAGGAAAATTTTATAAGATTTAAATTTGAAATTTAAATTTAGATTTTTAATTTAGAAGTTTGTAATAATTTGATTTTAAGTTTTATAATTATAATAGAGCTTAAAATTTTATAATCATTATAAAAAAGGCGTCGTGTCAAGTTGTCTTATATAAAAATAAATATAGTAAAAATATAAAGTAACTTGTGCAAGTTTTAACGTTCCTGATGCGGAAGTTTAGGTAAATCAGTGAATGAGCCTTACTAACAATGTGAAAATATTTCCTAATAAAACTAAAATCACATACATACATATGTGATTTTAGTTTTATTAGGATATATGTATGTATGTATGTATGTGCATACCTAAACAGAATCATAGGGACTTTTAACATAAAAGGAATTCACATATGCAATAATTTTTATGAAATATGAAGCATATGAATTTAATTAATATGTAAACACATAAAAAATATATATGTATGTACATATGTGATTATAAAAGTATACATTTTGGGAGACATACAAAACTAGCAAGCTCGTTAATTTCAAATGTAAATTTTCCCAAATTTGAAAAAATACATCACAATCAACTTAATGTTTCGAAAAAAATTATACTATTTTTTTTCTTGTAGTGTAGCATTTATTCAAACCTTAAAAAAATTAACAGAAATTGGAAGGTTTTTTAAATAAATTTTTTAATGTTTTAATAACACAAAATTTTAAGAATGTAAGGACTGGTAAAGTATAAAAAGATTGAATTTTAGCTTTTTCTAATTAACGAGAAAAAAAATAGAGTTGATCTTGTCAACTCTGTGATACCCGTACGAATTTGTTATCCTATGTACGAATAACTAATGTGTCATAACTAACTATGGGGCAGACTATGACTTTAAGTTGCCGTATAACCATATTAAATTATGCAAAATTTCAGTACTATGTGTTATTCAAAATACTGGTTGTGCCAAACTACTATTGATGTTGTATGGCAGTTACCAGAAAGAGCCAAGAAATTTTAGCGAATTTTATCAAGCACATCGGCCCTACTAATATATTCACTTGTGTGCAATCTCAATATCACAGCTTTTATAGTTTTTGAGATATAGTCAAATAACTTTTGAAGTTGTATGGCAGGTACCAGAAGGAGCCAAGTAATTTCAACTACTTTTATGTGACACATTGGCCCTATTAATATATTCGTTTGTATGAAATTTCAGTACCGTAGTTTTAATAGTTTCTGAAATATAGCCAAATAATTTTTGAAGTTGTATGGCAGGTACCAGAAGGAGCCAAGTAATTTCAACGACTTTTATATGGCATATTGGCCCTACTAATATATTCGTTTGTATGAAATTTCAATACCATAGCTTTTATAGTTTCTGAGATATAGCCAAATAAATTTTGAAGTTGTATGGCAGCTACCCGAACCGGTACCCCGATCATGTCCAATTTAAATAGGGTTCTGGCACTTACTACAATAAATCATTTGTGAAAATTTGGTGAACTTAGCTCAATTAGTTTTTGAGTTATCGTTGGGACGGACGGACGGACGGACGGACGGACGGACGGACGGACGGACGGACGGACGGACGGACAGACAAAGCTAAATCAACTCAGAATTTGACGCTGATCAAAAACATACACTTGAGTCTATATCTAACACCGTTATTTCTTAGCGTTACAAACGGTAAGGCAAATTTAGTATACCCTTCGAACATACGTTCGTACGGGTATAAAAATTTGAAAAAAGTTGATTTTTTGGGAGATTTGTGATGTTCAGAAGGACAGATCACATAAGAATACGTGTTAATTCGTCAGCTGTGAACTGTTACTCTCTTTAGGGTCCAGGCCTGTTTTTCTGTCAGCCGTGATTTGAAAAATTATATCCACCAATTGATAAATGATTGTCCACCATATGTATGTGACTAATACTTATTTTAATATTTACGTGAAATATTTATTCAATAGTGAAAAGTTTAATTTATAATTCATTTTTAATTTTGAAATAACACTTTTGTTTTAGCTGGGTTTAATTTGAAATTACGGGTGACATAGTTACATCAGAAGCAGATCTTTTCTAAGCACAGTTACTAAATTACAAATATACATACATATGTACGCATTTTGTGCTTGTATATTTGTTATATTAATATTCTTTTTATATAATATTTTTTTTTAAAAAAGATGCAAAAATGAGTGGAGCAGCTTTATTTTTTTTTTCGAATGTGACCCCGATTCCCCAATATTTTTCATAAATCATAAAGTACAACTGCGATCTTTTTAACCGTTTATTTTTAATTATGAACCCTATTTATATGTTGAAAATAAAAATTAAGGTTCTATGTTACATAAAGCCGCATTGACTTCTGTTTAAAATCTTGTAAAAGCAACAGGTTCTTTTCTATCTAAAATTTTCATATTTTTGTTTGATTTTGCTTCAATGTGTTAATCATTGTAAAACATTGTAGCTTAAGACTGACAATATAACTCAAAAATTGCAAAAGGTCTATGTGATGGCTAATCAATCATTCCGTGACTTCAATTATGCGCTGACGATGTAAACCTTACAAAGTATCACATTTCAAAAAGTTTAGTAAAAGCTCTTGAAATTGTACTTTCCTAAATGCGTTCTATATGTAGTGGACACGTAAAATAAAAGTAAATTGGGTGTCGGTCGAAAAAATCGACCACGCTTTTCTTATGTTATTGTATATGTATTGCCAGCAAAAACCAATTAAATAAACTAGCATATTAAATAAATTAAGTTTTCTTCCAAAATGCACCATAAAAATGAAATGCTTTTAATGACTTGGTAACGTTTCTTAAAAATTAACATTTGCACACAACTTTAAATTGAACTTTTCAAACAAGCGTCAAAGCACTTAATAATTTTAAAAATTGTATTCCAAAATGTACGAAAAGCTTCAGTAGCTTCTTTACAATGTAAAGGTATTGAAAGCTCTGAGACGGTACTACAACCGTATTAATACCGTACTTAAATCTTTTTTACAGCATTATTGAAGTCACGGATTATTATTGTATAACTAGTCTAATAAAATAGAAAATTTATGTAAGTAGATGTGCGATAATGTTTTGTGATGTGATGATTTTGAGTTTTGCATTATACGGATAATATTCTAATATTACGTATTTTCGAATAAATTAGAAATATTCATGGTGATTTAGGATGTTTGACAAATCAAAAACGATTAAATACAAAAAATATACAGAAAATGAAATTTTCAGTTCTTACAAACTAGGATAATAAATTACAAGTAACAAAATATTTTTCAGTTAAAACAAAAATAGTAAATATATAAATAAAAATGTTTTTGAGAAAAAAAAAATTGAATTTCCTTTTTTTAATAACTAAGATATTTGCATAAAAAATAAAATTTTCAATCCATTTTTCTGAAAACTATTTATTATAATATTTATATTACATTGTAATATTTGATGAGAAAACCTATAAATCTTATCACACAAATGTACCAATGCCTTCACCTTAATTACACAAACTTTTTTAATTTGCTTTTGTTAAAGATTAAATTATATATGTACTTATTTAAATTGTTAAAATCTTGACATTAGTAGGTAATTAGTTAAATTACATTTGCCACAGGCAACAAAATGAAATTTAAAGATCTGACAAATTAAAAATATTTCTTTGGTGTCAAATTCCTTTTTCCTAAATCTTGCTTAGATTTATCCCTTTGGAAAAGTAAATGCAAATATAACATTTACGTTCCTTTTTTCGTAGACTATTGCTTCTGCGTCCTTCAATGAAGCAATAGTCTACGAAATAATTAATATATGTATGTAATTATTGCCTAAAATTAAATTGGAATCAAATTTTGACAACAGGTGGTAATCTAACTACGTTGGAGACTCCACTCTCTTCGGAGTTCGGCTGTACAGAATCTGGAGAGAGCCATTTAATGCATTTCATTAATCCGTTCAGGAGAAACGCGAAAACCCGCCGTTCGCCACCTACATCTGATGTACGGATTTTAGAAAACAATAAAGCTATGGAAGGTGGACTACCGAACACTCAAGCTCCGCAAATCAAGAAGAATTAGCATACGTAAAAGAATTGGCCAACTAGAACAGTTCTGTGTGGCTTTGAAAAACGGGGTTCTTCAACTGATGACTGAGGATGAGAAGCTAAAGAAAGAGAAACATGGGAAAGTTACAAACAATCGGTCTAATGATAATAAAAAAAGAAAGATGGAACGTGGGCAAAAACTGACAAAGACAAGGCTAATGCGTTTGCGCATCTTTTGAGCGTGACTGTTCCAATTGTCAATGAAAGAGATGTTATGGAGGAAATCAGGACTCTTAAATCTAAAAAAGCTTGACATAATAACGGCCCATATTTTAC